ACGGGATCCAACACGTGACCTCTGAGTCCCATTCCTCCACGCATTCCTGTTTCTTAATCCAAGAGGCCTTAGCTGTGTGGTCGCCCGACTGCTCTTAGCCTGTGTCGGGGCGCATGCTGGTCCCCGGGGCTGCTGGGGGTTGGTGGTGATATCACTTATCAGAGAAGGACCCTGGTACTGGGCAGGGGACCTGCGGCGGGGTGGGGCCTTGAGGTCCCCAAGCCCAGCACTCACCACCACGAGCAGGAAGGACTTGGTGAGGATGAAGGCCGTGAGCCAGCTGACCAGCACGCAGAGTCCCGAGGCGACGCCACGGGCACGCAGGGGCAGGATCTCCGACATGAGGAGCCAGGTGATGGGCCCCCAGCCCATGGCGTAGCCTGCGGGACGTGGGGCGCACACACACACATACACACACACACGCACACACACACGAACACCTCGTCTGTCTCGCCGAGCCAAGGGCAGCCCAGCCCTCCCCGCACACAGGCCCCTTTCCTGGGCTGCCCCTGCCAGGGGTCCAGCAACCTACCCATGATGAAGAACATTGTGGCCAGCAGAGGCACCAGGGTGAGGTAGTTGGTGGGTGTGGCCGGGGGCTGCTCTGTGTCCCCCCAGGGCATGTTCTCCAGGCCCACAGTGCCATTGGGGGCCAGAGGCTTGGGGCCAAAGTGCACATACAGGCCGAGGGTCAGGTTGGCAGCGAACATGATGGTTGCTGTAGACACAGTGGCCCTTGGGGTCAGGACCCTCGGAGCTCAAGTTGCCCGAGAGTCCTGGGGCTTGGCTGGCTCATGATGGGGTGGGGGCTCCAGCAGACCTGTGGTGCCACAGCTGCTCCGTCACTCCTGAGAGCTCTACCTTGGTGGTTGCCACGCCAGGCCTGGCGGTGGCCCAAGTGACTTCACCCTGCTCAGGCCCATGCGGTGGCTGCTGTCAAGTGGGGAAACGCGTCATAGGCGGGCCGCTCACCTGACACGAACAGCAGAACCTTGCGGCCGGCCAGGTCCATGGTGAGGGCAGCAATCAGCACAGAAAGGAGCCTCACGGCCCCCACGATGGCTGCGTCATCCTTGGGGGGCTGTCGGGAGGGGGCCACTGTGGCTGACAGCCCCGGTCAGCAGCTCCCGTCCCCACCTCCACGCCTACCCTGTCCCACAGTGTTGTGGGTGCTCTGGTCTGAAGCCACAGTTGCAGCTTCTTGGAGGACCTGCGTGTCCAGCACTTCCCTGGGCAGGGGCCACGTGGTGCGGCCACCTTGAGCCCCACAGGCCCAGAACTGTGTGACAGTGGCCTGGGCAGCTGTGCTCGCCCCATCTTCCCGTGTCAATCCACACCGGGCTTTGGGATGAGGCGGGCCTATTGCCATCTCTACTAGCAGCACAGGAGGCTGGGGTCGTGGGGGGGTATCCCTCATGGGGTGCAGCCCCGGGGCTCTGAGCCTGGGGCTGTGGTCCCAAGGGGCCCACGTTTCTATTAAATTGGTTTGCTTCATCATCCGGTGCAGTTTATTTTAGAGACAGGTACATGGCTTGGAGTCAGGTGTGACCCTAGGAGCTTCCACACACCTGCTGGGGTCTGAGTGCCTGACTCTGGTCCAGGTGGGCCAAGGCCTGGCTGGGGTCAGTGTGACTCACCAGCAGCACAGCCGTGCTGTCAAAGATGGGCTGCAGGTAGACCAGGATGGGGGTGATGCCTGTCAGCTGCTGCAGGAAGCGCATCAGCAGGGCGATGAGGATGGGTCGGTACATGTAGGGGTCCCGGACCTCAGCCCATGACACGCGGCTGCTCTGGAACACAAGGCTGCCGTTAAGGGACTCTGCTGGCCTCTCCTGGCCCCACCCAGGCCAGCTGGCGGAGATAACCCTGCACAGCACCCAAGCTCGGACAGGCAGACCCGGCCCAGCTGCACCTGTCGCTGGACGTTGTCCTGGATCTGCTGGAACTCCCAACGCACATCCTGGGTGTCGGTGGTGTGGCGCAGCCAGGTCAGCGCTCTCAGAGCCTCCTCCTCACGGCCCCGAGACAGCAGGAAGCGTGGGGAGTTGGGCATGAAGCTGAGCAGCAAGACCATGATGAACACAGGCCCCTCCCCGGCCACGGCCAGCCAGCGCCAGGGCAGCAGGAGGCCTGCAGGGGAAGAGGGTGAGGGTCTGGTCCAGCCCAAAGCTGCCTCCTGCAGGGGCCTCCCTGATGGCCTCGGCCACTGTGTGTGGGTAGGGAGGGCTGCAGGGATCACCTGACCCTTAGCATGTGGGAGGAGGAGAAGGGCGAGCTAGGCCTGGGCCCATCCCGCCATCTTTCCCCAACAGAGTCCATGGCCTGGGAGGCACCTGCACTGTCCAGCTAGGCAGGGGGCCTGGTGACCAGAGATGGGCAGGAGACCGGCTGGAGGGACGTGAGCCCTGGTGCTGGTGGTGGCTTGGGGGCTGGTGGAGCTGCCTGCTGCCTCCTGGCCCAGGTCCCTGGTGGCATCTTCATTCCCTCTCCACCACCCTGGTACCCTGAGCCTGTCCACAGCCATACAGGGGATACTTGCCCAGAGCATAGAGGGACAGGGATCCAAACACTGCCATGAGCTGTGGCGTGGCCCCCAGGGCCCCCCGAACACCAGGGGGGGCGATCTCAGAAACATACACCTGCAAGACACACGCCACTGTGGGGAGAATGCAGGTTCCAGGCCTGGCAGGCTGGCAGAGGCTGCCCCTTTGAGCTGTGGGGAGAGGGGCTTCTGGTGGGGGCTTCTAGTGGGGCCTCGTCCTGATTGAGGCTCACTGTGTGCTCTCTGGCTTCAGATGCACTCAGGTCTGAGATGGCATGGTGAGGTTGGGAGTTTATGAGGCTCAGGGGCAAACAGACAAGGGGCTGAGCAGGTGCATCTCCTCCTCCCCTGACTTGTCGCCCCTCTGGGCTCATGGGACCAGCTGACAGGGGTGTGTGAGAAGGACCGAGAGGGGACAGGAAGGTCACTTCCCCTTCCCCCCTGTTGCTCAGTGTGGGTTTTCTCCGATTGAGCAATGCCTCTGTGGCCAAGAACCTGGGGAGGAAGTCTGCAGAGCCCAGGGCGGGGACATGGGGAGGATTTCCCCAAGATCAGCTGCTCGGGTTTGGGGGATGAGTGGAAGCGCCCTGGGCAGTCACAGGCACAGCTGAGCAGACTGGGCCAGGAGGTCTTCACCCAGAAGTGGCTCGGCATCAACGCCAAGGCCGCACGGAAGCCCCCTTCTTACCGGGATGCAGGCGGCTGTGAGCCCCCCAGCGAAGCCTGTCAGCATCCTCCCCAGCAGCAGCATCCAGAGGCCGTGAGCGCCAGCCATGAGCGCGTAGCCAATGGCAGAGGGCACTGCCGAGAACATGATGCTGAGCTTCCGGCCCAGCAGGTCGTTGAGGAGCATGGCACTGAGGCCCCCGGCTGCAGCACCCAGGGTGAAGATGGACTGTGGAGGAAGGGGTGCAGATTGAGCACCCCACTGCTAACCACAGCTTTCTCCTCAGTGGAACCCAGAAGCTACAGCAGTCAGCGAGGTAGTGAGCCTCTGGGCTCCACAGATATCCACGCAGTGGTTCTGCCCAGCTGATGTTGAGCACCTAATACAGTGGTATGCACAGGAGAACTCTGGGACTTGGAGGCCTTGTGACTTTGAGATTGAGGCCTTGAATTCCCTGGGTAGCAGTGAGTCTGGGCACATTGCTGAGCCTGAGCCTCAGTTCCTCCAGGACTGAGGAAAGCAAGAGCTCTCGCTGCCCAGGCCAAGCTGTAATTCCACGTCCAAGACTACTGAGGTCGTAACTGCAGAACCCTGGACTCAGGGTCCCAGTTAGTCCTTCCCAGCCACGCCCCTCCTACTGGCATCCCACGCTCTGGCCCCATGGTCCAGGGGCGTTGCTGTGCTGTGCATCTGGGGGTCTGGGGAGCCTTGAGGTCACACCGCCCCCCAGCTTCTTCCCAGAGCTTCCCTCTGACTTTCGCCTCCTCCATGCACACAAATCATCCGGCCTCACCCCGCCAGCCTCAGCCGGTGGCTGGGAATAGGGAGGGGGCGGGCGGGGCTCTGGAGGGGTCCGCCGGGTCCCTAGTGCTGCGTGCTCCCCCTGCCGCACCCCTTCCGGAGCACGTCCTTACCCCGAACCAGGACGCCTGGGTTTTGGTCAGACGCAGATCTGGGTCGGAGGAACGCTCCAGGGCGGGGATGACGGGGGACGTGTAGACCAGGGCGTAGCCGAAGCTGAAGTTGCCCAGCACGGCCGCGAAGGTGGCCAGGAACACTTTTTTGCTCTGCGGGGCCCTGGTGGGGAGTGGAGGGGGGTCAAAAGGACCGGGCTCTAGTACCCTCCGAGCCCTGGGCGCGGCCGGGGCTGCTGCAGGCTCGCAGTGACAGCCCGGC